AAACACCTCATCCCCAGTCCCAGACAGAGCCCTCACCCCAACTCTCACCAGCCCCCCCACACTCCAAACCCCTCATCTGCAGCCACAACCCACAGCCCTCACCCCTGCACCCCTCCCATCCCCAAACTCCCTCCCAGAGCCTGCACCCCAATTCCCTGCCCCAGCCTAGGGCCTGCACACCAGGCTGCCTCCCTCACCCAAACTCCCTCCCAGAGCTTTGGGCAGGTGGGGGGGGGCGGGTTCTGGGCACCACCAAAATTTCTACAAACGTGCCACCCCTGATCCTGCCCTGCAAACCTGAACTCCCAGCATTCTCAGGACACATGCTGATCCCTAGTGGCCACTGCTGATATCCAGCACCTCCCTCCTCTCTTAACCTGTGAGTCCCTCTCTGGATTAGAACTGGACTGGAACCAAAGAACATCTTGGAAGCAACATTACCAGCTCAAGCAGTCAAAAATCATGAGTTGACCTCCCCAAAATCAGAGGCTCTACCACCGCCCCTTCATTCATTCTTCGGCGGCAAGCCCTTCCCTCCGAGAGGGACTGAGGGACCCACCGCTGAATTGTCACAGAAGAGCTGGCCCTGGGGAAGGGCAAAATTTTATATTCTTGCCTCAGGCGCAAAAATACCTAGTTACAGCTCTGCTGGGCAGACCTGGGACACCAAGTTAACTCACTCGAATTGTTTAGGGCCGGGTTGAGGCTGGAGACTCCGCACCATCCAGCAGCACTTTATAACGTGGGCATAACTTTGCAGTTTGATCTCGGGTCCAGCCACCGTGCCTGCTTTGGGGCCAAAATCACCCCACCCCGACTGGTATCTCTTGCAACCCCCCCAGGATCCTGGGGCCAGTCTCGTGATCTCTAGACGCTCGGAGTGGGCACTGCTGCCAGCCGCCCTGCCCCAGCGCTTGGCTAGGGGAACCCAGGCACCCCGCCCCCTCGGCCCCCAGGGACACGCCTGTTCTAGCCCTGTGGCGGCTGCGCTAGCTGTACGGCCCTCGGCGAGCAGCTCCGGCCGCCGGAGCCCAGGGAACAGTTGACTCCCGTTCTACAGCGTCCCTTACTCAATGCGCATGCGCAGCTGGGCCCGACGCGCAGGCCCCTTTAAGAGCGCTGGGGGCGGGGCTGCTTTGCAGACGTGGCGGCCGCGACAGGCCGCCCCGCGCGGAAGGCGCTGATGAAGGCGGCCGCCCGGCGCCATTGCCATGAAGAGTTCCTGGGGGAGCGGCAGGTAAGTGTTACCCCCCGCGGGCCGCCCTCTGTCCCCCCGCGGAGAGGGGCCAGCACGGCCGCCCTGAGTCCCGCGACCCCTGGCATCGGGGGGGCAGATTCTAGCCCGCCGCGGCAGAGCCTCCGGCCCGCCCCCAGTGTAGCGCCACATGAGCAGCGCCGTGCGGAGGCCCCGGCTGGGCGCCCGGAGGCAGCGCAGCGGGTGGGCGAGGGGCGCTGGGCGCGGTGGAAGGCTTTGCCCGGGGTGGCAGGTGTTTCTCTGCTCTCGTTAGAGGCTTCCCGAGAGAATGGCCGGGAGGAGCCAGCCCCCAGCCGGAGCCCTGCCCGCCGCGGGCAGCAGCCGAGCCTATCCGTTTGGAAACGGTCTCCAGGCGGACAGCGAGGCGCAGGAGGAGGACGGGGAAGTGTCCGAGCTGCGCCCAAGAGGGAGGGAGAAGGTCCGACGAAGTACCTCGCGAGACCGGCTGGATGATATTGTGCTACTAACGAAGGACATCCAGGAAGGCGAGACTTTAAACGCGATAGCGCTGCAGTATTGTTGCTCGGTGAGTCTCGTGTACAGAGCGGTTCCCAGCGCGGTTTGTATTTTTGCCCACGAGCCGCTCAGGTCCAGCGGGACACGCAGAGTGTTCCCTACGGAAACTACACAACACGAATGCGTAAGTTGCGTGATATTTAAGCCCCAGAAATCAAGAAATGTCCAAGTTAAGGCTGACAAGGTGTGCAAGGTAATACGTTTATTGGACAGCTTCTGTTGGTGAGAGAGACAAGCTTTTGAGCCATACAGAGCGCCTCTTCCGACCTGGAAAAGGTACTGGGAATGAATGACTTAAAGAAATGCTACAAAATATTAGTATATGTCTTACAATATAAAAAAAGGTTTTAGTGTTTTAAACTATTGGCTTGGCTATAATGATCTTGAATGTATATACAGTAGCACCTTTCATCCAAATGGAACCTAGAATGTTTAAAAACTTTACTGTGTGTAAAATATGCTGACATTGCACATCTTTGAACTATAGCTCCCTCTGGGGTGATATGTGACCACTCTTCAACAGCACATAAGAACACAACAAAAGGACTTGACTTAATGTTGTAAGTCATGTATTGCAGTCACATTTTCATTCCAAATCTTCATACCACATTTTACAGATTATATTCTTGAAAGCATTTCCTGGATGTTATGCATTTTGGAAAAAAGTGTGGTGTGTCTGAGAAAGAAGGTGAGGCTGCATCTGAATTCTGTACCACAGTGCATAGCCACAAGTGGGCAGACTTGTAATAGAGCAACCTGTATGGAGACGTTTCTTGATTTGGATGCCTAACAGTATAACAGCAGGGCTCACTAAAAGTTTTCATATGGTACTTTAATTTTTTAAAAAGAAAAATAGATAAGAGAAAATAACTTTGCTCTCCAGGACTCTGAAATTTTGAAGACTAGCCATAAATGGGTATTAGCTGATGTTATTTACATGTGCTATTTGTCCAGACACCACTTACCTCCCTCCCTATGCACTTTAGGAAGGCCAAGAGAACACTCTTCTTACATGAGCCTTAGGGTGCTGCCAACTTTGCAACATCTCCAGTTTTAGGATTTTAACTTGCATGAGTAGTGTTTAGCTTCTTGGCACTCTTGCATACTCTACTAGTATTGAGCCAAGGGCTTCTGCAGAGCTCTTACCTCAGCTAAAGGGAACCTTCAGTACACTTCTCACTTGGTAGTTAAACTACCTGTACGTGTGTGGTAGCATAGCCTTCTTGACCAGAGTAGTGAGAAACTTGTACAAAATCTGAGCTACATTTGCTCATGCAGCTTTCAAAAGCTCGTAACTTGGTCAATTAAAAAAAAATTTTCTAGGGAATGCTCAGAGGTGTTCTTATATGGCTTTTTTTCATGCAAAATGTAAACTTTCAACTCTCTCTAGCCATTTTGATTGTAAAGCAGTTATTTAAAAAAAAAAAAAACTTGGTGAGTGAATCAGAAACCTTATTTACTTGTTCTCAGATGTTTTGCTCCTATTCTCTGGGTGGGATTGGTGGGGAGGGAAGAGAGTCTGTCTACAGAGACCAAGCCTGAGGAACCTTCATCTTGTAAGATGAAAAGCTTTAAAAAGTTAAGTATCTGAACACTTGATTTAACTGAAAAAAAAAAATTTTTTTTAAACTACCCCTTTTTTTAATCATTTTCTCCTTTCCCCCCCCCCCCCCTTCTCTGTATCCTTCACAAGCTTACTTTTTGTAGCTGTTTGTAATATAACCTGTCCTGGAATATTTTTTGCGAGAGTTAGTAAGTGGAGCTCTTAAATCTGTAGGAAACCCTGCCCTTTCTCAAAGAAAGAGGGGCAAAGGAAGACTTAATGGCCTGAGTTATGCCTATTGTTGCACTTGGCAATACAGAGGCAGAGAAGAAAGAACTATACTAGATGAATGAGGGTAATTTTGTAAAGTAGGAGAACTTCTATCTACCTAGATGTTCCCGAATGGGGTCGGCAACCTTTCAGAAGTTGTGTGCCGAGTCTTCATTTATTCATTCCAATTTAAGGTTTTGTGTGCCAGTAATACATTTTAACGTTTTTAGAAGGTCTCTTATATATTATAGACTTATAAAACTAAACTATTGTTATATGTAAAGTAAATAAGGTTTTTAAAATGTTTAAGAAGCTTCATTTAAAATTAAATTAAAATGCAGAGCCCCTGGACCAGTGGCCAGGACCCGGGCCGTGTGAGTGCCACTGAAAATCAGCTCACGTACCGCCTTTGGCACGCATGCCATAGGTTGCCTACCCCTGGTCTAGAATAACCAAACCACATTTGACAGTAATAGTATGTCTGTTTGCAAAGCACTTCATAAACTAATGGTCATCATTTCTTTGAAAGGGAGGGAGGAGTATTATTTCCATTTTCATAAATAGTTATTGAGACACAGGTTGAGTGACATTTTCCCCCCAAGTTCAGAGGGAGTCAGGGTGATTATTTGCGTTAGAATACAGTTCTTGACTTCCAGTCTGTACTTCAGTTCTTGTCTGTTTCAAAAATTTTGTTTGTATTTGGAACTCTTTGATTCCATGTTTTGCATCAAAATATTTTCGATTGGGTTCCATTTATAATGTGGGATTTCCTTTTTTAGGGGTGTACTCTGTTACTCAGGGAGGCTAAAGCTCTTCTTCAGGTTTAATAAACCTTTCATATTGTTTAAACTACGTTGCTTTTAATTATTTTTTTTTTTTCAGGTTGCAGACATTAAGAGGGTTAATAATCTTATCACTGACCAGGATTTTTTTGCTCTGAGATCTATCAAAATTCCAGTGAAGAAGTTCAGTGTATTGACTGAAACGCATTGCTCTCCAAAAGGCAAGCAAGTTTCAAGACCTTTATCATCTACTCAGTTTTCCCCAGAATCCCAAGGAACATCACCAGCTTCTGATTCATTTTCCTGTAATGAGACTGTAGGCAGCTTCTTGAAAGAAGTGGATCGCGATATAGAACAAATAGTAAAGTGCAATGATACAAAAAGAGAGAATCTTAATGAAGTTGTTTCTGCCTTATCCGCACAGCAGATATGCTTTGAACCTGATGCTAAAACCAAAAAGCGGAAAGATCCCTATTACGGAGCAGACTGGGGCATAGGATGGTGGACAGCAGTGGTGATAATGTTGGTGATTGGCATAATAACTCCAGTTTTTTATCTCTTATATTATGAGGTTTTAGTGAAAGTGGACGTTAGTCACCATTCTACAATGGAATCTGCCCACTCACTAGTCACAGCACCATCACAACAAAAACAAATTGAAAATGGAATAAATCCAGCAAACATCATGAATGTTGAGAGTGAGGAGGAACTTCAGCATTACAATGGAAAGTCCCAGGAGACTGTTGTTCATAGACATCTAACATAACTTTCACATGAAGAGAAAAACAGTATAGAATGCGAAATGCATCTGGAATGCAAAGAATAGATATTACTGATGTATACATTCCTTCTTTTTGGACAGTATTAAAGTACAAGGATGCTTTGCTTCCTTTATTTAAATAGTTGTGGGAACCTGATATATTTACATAGGAGATGATCCTTCTGTGGGTCATTTAAACTGTCAAGCATGTTGACAGATGACATTACCAGATTTAATGTGAGATTGTCATGGTATAAATGTGTATGTAAACAGGTATTTTTGAAAGGCTTTGCACTTTTTTCTATTTAAATATAACCTGTTTTGTTTTTAATTAATGATTGCTGTTAAGGTGCAGTTCTGACAAACATGAGATAAATGAGTACAGTTGATTATAATTTGCTATGTGAAAGCATCTGCTTCAGCATGTTTAATTTTAAAAATAAATATTGTTTCATGCTTTATTTATAATATATTTAATGGTACATGCTACATGGGCTATCTTAATATCCCAGTTTACGGCTATCAACTGAAGAGATCTACTTCCCACTTCATAATATATACCACTGAATACATATTTAGTGTATGGCTGGTGTAAATTCTGTGTGTAAAACCTTTTCCATATATAAAGTTCAAACTACTTTTTTCCTTAGATCAGTGTGAGACTTTCTGAAAGGAAAATGAATATATAGGGCTGAGAGCTACTGTTGACTAAGTAGAAAGATGTACTAAATTAAGCTTCGTTGACTGATAGGGCAGTGCTTATGTTGAACTTTTTTTGCACTATAACTACTGCCTTATATAATAGACATCAAGTGGTGAGATTGCAAAGACATTTAATAGAAGTTTGTGACCTTTTCACAATCAGTGCATAACCAAACAGTTTATTAAATTCCTCCTTTTTGAGTATAAGCAAATTTACTTTACTACAAGTAAGGCCCAAAGTTCAGACTGGGTCTCATTTTCTGCTGCAATCCAGTCAATAGGCTCATAAGCCATCTTTTTAAATGTACTTCAGAAGCTTGCTTGAGGTCACTTTGTGTATAAGTGAGCTATGCTCTGATGCCTAAACACAATCCAGTTGTTGAGACAGAAGTCCTTGTCCTGTGTAATAATTAGCTGCTTAAATTTGAATAATTAGAAATTGGCTAAATAACATGTATGAGAAAACAATCCAAGGGATGTAGCATTTCCTTCCATACCTTTTTTGTATTATTAAGGAAATGTCACTCTCCTAGTTACATCTTACAGTGCAGAAAACTGGTTTTCCTCAGTTGAAACAGCTGGTGTTTTCAGGTGTCTGAGTGGATGCATACGGTAATATGTAGGAGGGCTTCAGAAGCACCACTCTTTTTCAACTCACTCCCACAACACTTCAGAGGGAAACCCTGTGGCATCTAGAAGAGAAATTTGGCCTGCAGTGAGGGTGCAGCTACTGGCAGTACCTTACTGCCCCCATGATCCTTGTCAGCCTCTTAAATTTCTTCCCCTGAAGAAGGCTGGTCCCTGCATTTAAGCAGTCACCTACATTTTTCCTAAGAAAGTTACAGCTAGAGAAGAGGGAAATTAGTTTTGAACTTACTAATTTTTGTTTAAAGAGGAAAGTGGAGGTAGTTATGTATTCCTTTATAGGGATTTATTAAGATAGTGCCTATAACTTACACTAAATCCCATCATATTTGCCCCCTGAAGCAAGGTTCTCACTGTTATCCTCCACTCATAATTATTTCACCATATGAGTAAATGGATAGGCTTTGGCAGCAAAAGAGACTTGAGTGAAAAATACTTCTCTTCAATGTTATATTTTGTATTTAAACAGCGTCTTGTCCAAGTGTACAGTATAAAAGTGATTCTGAGAAATGGACATATTTTTAAAAGATGCAGTACTTACAAACACTTTCTCAATTTAGAAATTCTGATGTCTTGCAGATTTTAAGGAGGGCAAATGCAGTTTATTGTTAAATGACGCAAACATGGTTAATTGGCTGTATTTTTCTTTAAAAATTGTAAAACTTGACAATACAAAAATTGCATTTTAAGGCTCAACTGTTCTAAAATTTGGCAGGTGGAAGTACGCTTTGATCCTGTGAATTTTTATTTTGGAGCTATTCTGAATTGTTTGATAAAGTGGCTGCGCTCAGAAGAATTTGATCATGTAAAATTTCTTCCAGAGAAGACCAAACTAGCTATACAAGTAGGAATTATTTAACATTTGTTTTAGAAATAGTTATATAAACTTTTACAAACATAATGGGTCAAAACATTTAACAGTTGAAGTTTAGAAACAGTTGAGATTGCTTTAATCTATGATTTCAACATTACTTTGAAGGTGCCTTAATAGAAATCCTATCTGTGTAGGATCTGGAACTCTTTAAGCATAGAATACAATTCTGTGCTCTGAACGAACTTAGGCTTGCTCTTTTTGCTTGCCTTAACTAACCTCTTGTCCCCTATGTCAATGATTACTTTTGGAATTACAAAATGTTAATGCTTTATAATGTCAGAGATTGGTCCTTTCATCACAATAAAAAAACTCAAGAGAATTATTAACAAGCTGAATAACATGAAATGAGCTTGTTTGGGATTTTCAAAAGATACGTTGCATACTAGTTATTTTCAGTAAGTGTGACTAAATGTATACACACATGAGCAGACAAAAGAAAATATTAAATTGCTAATATTTTGGTAATAGATTATAATCAGATTTGGTCATATCTTGAATTAGAATCTGAAAGGGTTCTATACTGTTAAAATACAAGTAAAGAGACATTGCTACTTATGTTGCTCTGTGGCATTATATACTGAGAACCTTTGTTTAGTTACATCTCATACAAGTCAAATTTGTGTGTTTTATTTTAAGATCTGAGAAGACTTGTGACTTATTGTCAATGAGTACTTCCTAAAAAAAAAAAAAAGTGTACTGCAGCAAAGGCATAAACTTTATCTTTTAAAGTCGTTTTTGAAATAATACTTAAGAAAAAACTGTTGTTCTTTTGAACAACATTCCATTACCTTATATAACAACATTTTTAAGAGCAGAAAGTTAATTTTATCGGAGTCTGACATAGGTTTCCCTTGAATATAGGACTCCTGTTAGTACTAAAGGGAGTTGCTTGCATGAATTTCACTTTGCTTCTCTGTGGGCAGCCTTGTTCTGTTGCAATTGTACTATCTTTTCCAAACTACGATGACAGATACTGCAGTATCAGTTATTTACCTGTAGCGGTAAATAACTGGCTGATTGCTCTTTATGATACAGATTTACATTTAATAGTTAGAAGTGAAGTGGTAAAGCCAAACTCCTGTCAAAACTGTTTTAACAGTGAAGTTGGAATTGTAAAGAAATTTATTACATGGTGCATTCAAGTGAAGAATCATGCTTTAGATTAAATACAAAACATGGTTTGCTCAGGAAGTCAATTTTTAATCTAAGTGCATATTGCACTGTTGGCACATATGTAAATGTTTTATTTAAATCTGATATATTTTGGAGTACACTACCACAAATGGTCTTTGTATAACAAAGTATTTTATACAGGATCAAAATGTAATTAGATGTGAAATAATGCAGTGCTGAAGATGTAAGCCTCTTATTAAATCTTTTGTTCCTTTTACTTGCTTCATAGTTTTGGGAGAGCTCTGAGCAGTCTAATAAAATATTTTTGTGTGCAGCAAAATGTGAACTTGAGAGCATGTTCTTGTCCCTGTATCTGCTTTCCTGAGGAAGTTGCACACTTGTCTCTCAAGCTGATATTGATTAGCCTATGTACAACCTCAAACTAAACTCCTAGGTTGGTGAATATCTCTGTTTATATGTTGTGTAGAGCTCAGTACAATAGTCACATCTATTATGGATTATATTACAGTATGGTTATTCACCCCCTATTGTATGAGTAGACTCTCAATTTCAGATAAATGACTGCCTTTGACCTACCTAAAAACCATGAGGTGCATGAGGCAGCTTTAAAAAACAGGCTCAAGAAAAGTAACCCCAGTTATTAGTGAGGCTAATTTTCAGATGCCAACATTTTCACAGGCTGGCAAAACTACCTTTTTGGTGGTATATTATACTACTTTCACCTGTCACTGTCCTAGGAATTTGTAGCTGAAATCCTATTTTACCTTGTAAAATAGTTATCCGGAGTCAGAAGTTTTCTTAAACCCAAGTAAACAATGTTTTGTTCACTCTGCTAACATTGGGGAATATTATTCATATTCTAAATACGGTAGTTAAAGGGATACTGCCAATTTGGAATGCTATCTGAAAAGTAGTTCCAGGTTTCATGTAGACCCTGAACAGTATAGTTTAACTCTCTCATCTTCATCTTTCCCTATAAGAGGTAGACATTCACAGGCATGCTGCTAAGTTCAATTCTTGTATCAGATCCTGTTCAACGGAGTGAACAATCAATATAATTTTACCAAGCTTTATTCTTAAAGGGCTATGCTAAGGTATGGTCATGCTTGAAGTGGTTTGCTGCATGGTTATCTGTATTCACCACCAGCCATGGTAGCTATTATAGCCCTAATAGCCACATTTCTCTACCTGTAGAGCGGGGAGGGGAATGCAACATCTCCCCCCTCCCCACCAGTTGTACAGGGATGGAATGGAAGGAGGCCTGTCCAAAGGGAAAGCCATAAATGGCTCCAGGATCATCTGAGTACATGTGGTACAATGCACAGATGGCAAAAAGCTACCAGTAAGTTATTGGTGCCTTGAGACTGATCACTGAAAGGCAGCTTTGGGTTCAAGGCTTGACTACAGACAAAAAATGGCAGGAAGGGTATCCTCATACTTAAATTGGCTAACAAAATATCCTTGATCAGCACAACCATATTGTTTTCAGTAAACTACATAAGCAAATTCTCCAAGTCACTGGGACCTGAGCAGTGTGTGTGTATGGGAGATATTTGCCTGTAACATTACACCTCATCTTTCTCCACATTCTGAAAACACACTTTTATAAATGCAGTTTATATTTCCTATGTGTCTTCATGTTGGTTGACACTGGTATGATTCCTGGTTGCTGGCAGAGTCGAATTGTTAGGAAATAACTTCAGTCTTCATGGTGCTGTGCAGGAGACAATGGTGCTGTAGAGTACATCAGTGACCTCTACTGATGACCCCATTCCTGTACACTCAAGCCCTCAAATACCCTCCTATTCTGCTGCTGGTACCGAAAACTCCAAGAACAAGACAACTTACCCTGAGCTGGGTTCAGCTAAAGTCTATAAACCAAGACAATGTCTTTTTAGAAGATACGTGACAGCTCAAACAAAACTTATGAGCTTGATCTGGTAATTAGTGGATTAGATTCCATGGCCTATGGAGGAGCTCAGACTAAATCATAACGGTCCCTTCTGGTCTTAACTGTTCATGGAGATGGGGGAACCTACCTGCAGAAAGGATTATCTGGACAAGTATGAATTGATGTCCCAAACATCAGAAGAGAGTTGAAGAAGCTCAGCTACTGCATCTTGAAGCCATTCCCTGCTCTTTCTCTTGAATAACCATAATTTTTTTGGTGGAAAGTCATTTCTGAACATGTTAAATCTTACTGCCTTCTGTTGGACAATGAAATAAGGTGGTTTCTTGGGGTTTGTCTCTCCCATTATATTTGTATACTCTTTCTTCTGATTGCATTGTATCTCACTATTTCCTTATTCTGTGATCTTTGACTGCATTTGATAAAATCCTGCCTTACTTTTTCCACATTTCACCTAAGGAAGTAGTTGCTGGCATAATGGTTCCATAAATCTACCTTACTAGAATCATAGGACTGGAAGGGATCTTGAGAGGTCATCTAGTCCAGTCCCCTGCACTCATGGCAGGACTAAGTATTATCTAGACCAGTGGTTCTTAACCTGGGGTGCAAGATGCCCTTTCTGGGGGGGTGAGACATGCCAGATTTTTTTAGAAAACACATATTAAGCACAGGCACGCAAGTATAACTACTTTGTTTAATCAAACCCTATATATTAACATTTTTAACGATTACTGTAATACAAACAAAACATTTATTTTCAAGTTTTTAAGCTAATTGTGAAATTATCTCGCTACAAAATACAGTGTACCGCCACGTTGCGGGGTATTTCTTGACTCATGCGCCGCTGATGATGTGGCATATATATATATATATTTATATATAGTTATGATACATCTAGGTTTAAAGAACTG